GCAGAGTTAGGTTGGATCTTTTCACTTGGTTATTGTGCGGGAGTACTTCATTTGTTACTTCCAACACATCCTATTTGTTTGATAACACTGTTTGTTTATACTCAAAGCTTACGTGTGCACAATCCAGTTTCTACTTGGTTATATTAGAAACATTGTGTGCACAATCCCTTTTTTTGTAAAGTATAAAAGGATATTAAATACTGAAGGGTTTTATGAGAGTAATGGCTGAAGTAGCTAATGTACACTTGTCAAAGACGAAACACTGCATGCTTTCATATAGCAGTATGCAATTTTTGAGAAGTGTTTGTTTAATCAGTTGTAACTTAATGATCTACTGTTAATTGCTTTATCGTTAGGCAGACAAGGTTCTCCTGGATGATGAAGCAAGGAGCCTGCAATTTTCTGCAGTTGATTCAGGCGAGTCCCTTATCTGGTGTAGTGTCCGGTTAAGGGAGTAGATTGATAGCTGGTGCTTAGGAAAATGCAGTATATGAAGTTAGAATGCTGATTTCATACGTGACATTTTATTCCTATAGTTTGGTTCGTTTTCTTATGGTCTTGAAATCACTTGGATAACTGTTAGAACTTCTTTGCTAAGCCCATGCTTTGTTGCAGGATTTATTCACCTGTACTTTTTGCATGTTGCATTACCAAGATTGGAAGGGAATAGTATCGAAATGTGGCTGTAGTCAATCAGCTAACTCCAGTTTGATGCATAGTTTGCTTGCTTATCGCACTTTCTTGCTTGCTCCAATACTTAGAAAATATGCAGTAGTTTCTGCTCCCTCCGTTCAAAATTGTAAGACATTTTGGCTTTTACATAAATTTTGCTATAGGATTGCTCAGTTGCTGAAATGAAAAAGAGAAATTGGCATATTACTTTCAGAAGATGGTTAAACGAGAACATGCAAAATCAGTTGAGAAGACTACATGACATTCTGTTCAGATGCAATGTAAATAATATTTCAGACAGAGCAAGATGGGATTGGAAGAAATCTGGTACCTTTTCAGTTAAGTCAACTTATAAGCATCTATGCAAAGATGAGCTAGGTCACAATCTCAACAGAATCTGGAAGGCTAGGCTGCCTTTAAAAATTAAGATCTTTTTGTGGCTTGTGATTCAGAATGCTATCTTGACTAAGGACAATCTGGTCAAACGCAAGTGGAAAGGAAATGAATCATGTGTGTTTAGTGAAGAAAAGAAATTGTGGAGCACCTTTTTTCTTTTCTTTTTTTGTAATTGCTAAGTACAGTTGGAGTGTAATACTGTAATTGCATTTGCTCTAGGAGTTAAGTGCAGATCGTGTAATCCGGAACTGTTCTGGATGTGGACTAAATTGAGCTTACCTAATGGGAAACAAGCTTACACAGTGGGGTTAGCAGCTATCTGCTGGGCTATTTGGAGAACAAGAAATGCTGTACTTTTGAAAAGAAAAGAGTGAAATCTTCTATAGAGATTATTTGTATGATGTGTTCTTTCATTGCTTAGGTCAGGTTTACCGTTTACAGCAGTCCAGTATGGTGTCTCAGATGGGGCAAGGCGCGGTCGTGTGGAAAGCTTGAAGATGACGCCCATTCAGTTTCATGGTCAGATGCATGAGAAGGCGGATGGTCAGCTTCTGATGATGCATGAGGAGAAGGCGGATGGTCAGCTGCTGATGGTATTGGGCGATAAGATTGAACTTAGGTGTCTGAAGCTAGCCTGTGCGCTGTGATTTTTGACCTTGGGCTTTGTACCTTTGGCCTTGTTTAAATCTAGTGCGTAAAGTTTCGTGATGTCACATCGGATGTTAAATCGGAGTGTCGGTGTTCGGATACTAATAAAAAAAATAAATTACAGAATCCGTAGACGGATACTAATAAAAAAACAAATTACAGAATCCGTAGACGGATTTATTAAGCCTAATTAATTCGTCATTAGCAGATGTGTTACTAAAAAAACTCGACGGGGGGTTAAGACTGCCCCACAGCATTTGAAATAAGAAGGACCTTCTTATCCGGTCGAGAAAACCCCCGAACTCCCATCCCACCTTTACACGGTGGCTTTCCGTCGTCCAAGTGAGAATTGGGCCGGTGCTCCCAGTGCTTTGGTTATGGGGGACGGGCGAGAGGATTTTTTTAACCTCAGCCTGAAATTCGCTCTCACGGGGAGTCGAACCTAGAACCTGAGGAGTGCCGCTGGGTCACCTAACCGTTTGAGCTAGGCGCCCTTTGGCAGCAGATGTGTTAGTGTAGCACCACATTGTTAAATCATAGATTAATTAGACTTAAAAGATTTATCTCGTAAATTAGTCGCAAACTGTGTAATTAGTTAATTTTTTAGTCTATATTTAATACTCCATATATGTGTCTAAACATTCGATGAGAAAGAGAGTAAACTTTAGGGGACAAAACTAAAAAAGGCCATGCTATTTTTTTTTCTTTTGCTTGACCTGTCGAAGGAAGTGTTTAACTGTGGTGGTTTGGGGAGCGGTGGTTCCATATAGGCTGATCCGTGATCTCTCTGATCAGATATAGGGTAGTTTTCTGATCAGATATAGCGTAGCAACTTGCGACGCTTTTGCTACGCTGTGTCGTTGACTGTGTGATTTTGTTACTTTGTTAATGACATTCGAGTTTACCGTTGTTGAAAAAATAAATTTAACTATGTACCTAAATATATGTTATGTCTAGATACATGGTAAAATCTATATATTAAAAAAACCAAATTCTTATACATTTTACAATGAGAGTAGATAGTACGTGATAAGTATATCCTTGTATGACAACCCAGAAAATTGTTCTTGCACTACCGGCGTACAGCCATCTGTCTTCTAGATGCTAGGAATCCCCCGAGCGCTCCAAACGGGTGTCTCGGGGGCGTCTCGCCGGTGCCGCCCGGGACCGCCCCTTACGCCACCTCTCCGGCCACCGCCGTCGCCCTCCGGCGTGCGGCGGTGGCGGCCCGCACAACCGGCAACCACCGCAGCTCCCTTCCTTCCTCCCCCCCATTACTCCACCACCTCTCCTCGCTCCACGCTACTCCGGCGGTCGGGCGGCCTTGGAAGGGCGGATCCGCCTCCCCCGGTCACGGATCTGGCCTCACACGGTGGTTGGCGGCCTCCCCCCTCCTTTCGGCGCGGCTCCTCCCAGTCTGGGGGCTTGATTGCATGGGCGCGCATGGGATCGCTCAGGAGCCCAGTGCTTCCTCTTGCAAGTGGGCTGGCCGGCAGGGATGGATCCGCCCTTTCTGGGTCCGGATCTGCCCCCCCCCCCACGGCTGGTAGCGGCCTCCTCCCCTTGCTGCGGCGTGGCTGCCCCCGGGCTTCGTGGCGCATGGGGGTGGCCACCGGGATGCCGAGCCGCATCCGTTGGCTGCTGTGCGGTTGGCTAGGGTAGGCCTACGGCCATCCGCCCCCCTCCCCCAACACCTACCTTCTCCGGTGAACCGACCGGGCGGCGGGGCGGATCCGAGCCTCCTGTGGGCGGATTTGCCCTCCTCCGCCCCGGATCTACTGCTTTGCGGATGGTGGCGCGGCGCTTCTCCCCCTCGTGGGGGCGATGCCTCTGGATGCATGGTGCTCTGGGCGAAAGCTTAGTCCGGTGGTGGCCGGGCGGACGACGGTGACGCCTTTAGCTCCACATACCTCCCTGGAGGCGTCGTTCTCTGAGCCCCATGCTCCTGTGCCACCAGCGCCGGATTCTAGGCGAAAGCCCTGCCTTAGAGGCCTCTAAGGCCAGCGACAACGACGTTTAGGTCACTGCCATGGGCATCCTCCCCTTCCTAAAGGTGTCGCTGAAGAATCGGCCTAGTTCCTGCCGTCGGTTCCTTGAGGAGTCCCTCACTGTGCCTATTGTGCTTCATTTCCACTCGCATTGGTCTGTCCTGCAGCTGTTGACCTCACTCGGTTTGTTGTCGTGGATACCGTAGCGATGCTTTGCCGCTACTACTTATCCCCCGACGGATGCTTGGTCGCTGGTTGGTTTGTTGGCGGATGCTTTGCCGCCGTGCGGTTTGTTGGCGGACGCTTTGCCGCCGTTGTCGTTGGCCTCCTCTCTGGCAGATGCTTTGCTGCCGAGAGTGACCTGGCCCTTCCCCGCTACAGATGCTTTGCTGTAGTGGGTGTCTTCGCTTCTTCCCCGGCGGATGCTTGGCCGCTGGTTGGTTCATCGGCGAATGCTTTGCCGCCGTTTGGTTTGTTGGCGGATGCTTTGCCGCCGTTGCAGCTGGACGGTCTTTTGTGTAGGCGACCTTTGCGATGTTGTGTCCTTTTCTTATAGGCTCAGTTCGTAGGTTTTAGGTGTCGTGGGCAGTCGCCATCTTTTGTATCATTTTTTCTTGTTCTTAGTTTCTACCCCAGGTCACTCACCACTAGCTTGGTGGCCTGTAATCTGTGCTATGAGGGTTCTCTCGTAGCTGCGTCGTATAATTTCTCTCTGCTTAATGAAAAACGGGCTATATTACCCGATCGCGAAAAAAAGACAACCCAGAAAATTGAAACTTGAATCTTATTAACAGTGTGCGAAAAAAGATCATCGAGCACACTTGGCATTCTCGGTTTTCAGTTTAATGCATAGTATTTCCTGAGTCTGAAGCCTTGCCCAACAGAAACATTGGTGCCTGGGTTGCATTTCATTTTCGATATTCCCATTCCCGGAACACGGGCTCTTTAATCTTGTGCTGGTTGAGCCTGATCACCAGATTCACAACAGGGTTTCCATCTCGGCAGACAAACTGTTAAGCTCTAGCTACAAAAAGTTTCAATGACAAAATATGCAAGCAAACGTTTCGAATTCAGACATTCGAGCAACAATCCAAAGGAACATCTCAAGCTGACGATTGGATCATCATCAAAGCAAAGGGGTGAAAGAATTGTATGTTACCTTGAGCTGCACCACAAGGCAAAAGCAAACTTGAAAAACGAGCACACAAAACAAAGGGGTAAAAAGAATTGTATGCTGCCTTGAGCTGCACCACAAGGCAAAGCAAACTTGAAAAACGAGCACACATAAAGCCAGGATCAGACAAATTCGCCGATGAGATTATCAAGTGGCACTCTAGGACACACAATTCTCAATCTTGCCCGGTGGAACGCGCGGTAGCGGCGGCGGAAGGCGGGATCGGAGATGACGTGGCGCCAGGACTTGCACACGAGGGATGCGCGGACGAGGCACTCCGGCTGTCCTGCCGGGATGCGGAGGAGGATCTCGCAGACGAGGTCGTCCACCAGCTCCGGCGCCGCCATGACGCTGGCCTCGCCACTTCTAGAAGCATCGTCACTGGACTCGCCGATGGGGACGCCCGTGGGCTCCATGACGCCCGGCCTGGGTGGCAGTGGAAACGGGGCGGCGTAGTTTGATGGAGCAGCAGCGGGGGTTCACGCAGATTGTTGAACTGGACCGGCATTGTCGTGGTGTGTATAAATAATAAATCTATAAAATACACAGGAGACCAAAATGCAAACGTTGTACTAATTTCGTGGAATATCAGATGGCGGTTACAGTCGCAAGATCTGACTAGAAATGACCAGCCGACCTGCCAGACCAATCAGCAAGTTCTCTGAATTTCGTGGAATATCAGATGGTTCAGCACTATGAAGTCAAGTCAAAAGTTTCATTTCGATCATAGGCCGAAACACAGTGCTGAATACCACTTGGTGTCCCCATCGTAAGGCCATAAGGGCGCTTTCAACCACCAACAATTCATTCATTCCGAAGAATCTGCGGTTGCATGTGTCGGCAAGAGACCTCTCCAATTAGGATCACCAAATTTGCAGAGTTCTTGTATTCAGATGAAAGAAACAAATTCAATGGGTGTACACAAACAACATATGAGCAGAAAATGCTGAAGAAACAAGTATTATTATTCGTTTTTTTCCTTCTTATTCTGTATAAGGATAACATAGATTATTCTGTGGGGGTCTTTTACATGTGTGAAAGAATAACTGAATCAAGCGCACCAGGGTTAAAAGAATGTCACTCAGAATGGCCAGGGGATAAAAAGAAATTTGGACATTCCTCAAGTTCTTGCCAGCTTCCATCGTGTGCAAACGCTTGAATGAAGAATTTCACACCAGTGATTTCGTTGGAGACCTCTAAGCCCGATACGTAGAAGGCATCGACACTAGCAACTCCAAGATAGCTTCTGGGAGCTTTCATGTCTGAATCTGCCGTCAACTTCTCCACATAGATATTGTACTTGCTGAATGGTGGTTGCCGTTGATCAGGGGTCTTGAGCTTCCAGCTGATTTTCAGACTCACAAGTTCAGATCCGTTAGAACTTTTTGACCATGAGATGTAATCACCTTCAGTTACCCATGATTCTGCTGGAGGGAACTCTGTGTTTTTGTCAGTATTTCGAATACTGATGTGGCCTAGTGATGCTTGATACAGTGATGATCCATCGACTTCTTCTTCCAAGATGCTACCATCTTCTGTTTCTGGACTGATTTGGCCAGTAAATTTCAATGTGCAGACAATGTTGATACCAGTTAATGTGTAGCCAGCACTGGACCAAACAGTTGCTTTGTAAAGGACCCAGTCTTGGTTATCTGGAGAATGTAGTTGCACAGGGACCCAATCTTGGTTATCTGGAGCATGTAGCTCCACCTTATCGGCTTTAACATATGATCCATACTTGTGATTTTGTTTCTTTCTGGTGAATGTTGCTATGTCCTCTGCAACAAGAATTGATGTACCCTGCTTGTTTCTAGAAGACAGATCCAGGGACAACCCTAGAGCAGAGTTTGCATTGGCTCTTACCTGAAACAAGCCACCAAAAGATGCTAAATCATGAGGCTGGAAAGACAAGGATCCATTGAGAAATAGAACACAACGGTAAAGGGACTAAGGGAACTCATGCAGTAGTGCAGTACCACTGTGAACGCATTTCTCCATTCACATTCAGGGGATTTTGTCAATGTTTGTAACAATAAACAATCAATATAGTTCATGTGATTCAGTTTTATATTTCCAAGGAATTAGATCAGTAAGAAGACAGTTAAGATAACACAATAAATGTAAATACATCTTTTTTCTAACCGAATAAAATAGATGAACAGGTCCATCTTCCATGGCAAGTCCTCCATTAAAAAGTCGTTCTGAGAAAACAATGTTCTGCCGAAGAGTTCCTTTGGCTGTCAAACAATTCCCTCCACTGTACGGTCCATCCTTGAAACTATTAAGCATCCAGCAAAAGAATGTTATAAATGGAAAATAATTGGGATGATTATTTTGGAAAATAACGTAAGGAAACATTACTAAATGTACAAGAAAGATAAATGTTGTGTGCACTAATGAAATCATCCAGTTCAATTGTCCGGAAAATTAGAATTAAATGTATACTCAGCATGATTAGCACAAATGCAGAATATAAAACTAAAGGTTCATGATTGGCACACAAAGAATAATATAAATCATAGTTGATGTAAACTATGAGCGGAAGGTCCTGGGTTCGAGTCGTAGTCTCCTCATATTGGACAGGCAAGGGTAAGGCTTGCCACTGACACTCTTCCCCAGACCCCGCACAGAGCGGGAGCTCTCTGCACTGGGTACGCCCTTTTTTTTATAGTTGATGTAAACTAATCGTGAAATTAACCAGAAAGCTTAAGTTTGCTTCTAATAGTAACTGAACTAAGACTCCGCGAGGTGCGGTATCAGGGGTGAATAGAGCGGTAAATGATTCCAGGGTACCTCATTACGTGTGGGTTCGAACCAAACGATCGTATCGCTATTCGGTCCCGTCCGCGATTGGATTGCGTTACATTTGGCTGAACCAAACAGCTTGTAAGTGGAACAAATACCCTATGTGGCCAGGACATGTGTCAGCAAACACTTCAAATAATGCATTCCAAAACTTTTTGGGGCTCAGATTTCTCTCTTGTTCAGCAAGCTATTTTAGTGACATGCTAATTTGTATGATCTTAAATAAAAGATGATGCTTCATTTACACAATGAAACCTAAAGTCGAAATATTTAAGCAGTTATGAGATGAAGTGCAAGTAGGTGATAAGTTGCATATTTCAGTAGCCTTGAGTGCTAACCTGTGTTTCTTGCTTAAAAAATAATATAAATCATACACCTCACTTTTCATCTTAATATAAGAAATGAAAACTGTATACAACTATACAAGAATTCAATAAACATGAATTACCATGTAGCCAAAGAAGATGTGAACTTACTCTGTATAGGCTTGCAGGTGAACTTGATCTCTGGTGTATTTAAGCATAGGCTGAGAAAAAATAAGGGACATTGTCACAGTGAACTTCAGGATGGTTTGATACATGCCAGCTTTCATGAATAAGAACCAAATTTCAGAAATGGGATAATGACAGCAGATGGTATGCAAAAGGCATTTTTTTTGGATCCGTTAATGTAAGTTGGGGAAACTATAGATTGATTATTGAAGGACAAGAACATGTACATACATATATATATATAGGTGAGGATAGGGGCGGCTTATGGAGACACAAACAACCTCCAGTATCCTTGCCTAATTCAACTCAATCTACTAGAGACCCAGACTTGGAGTCCAAATACAACTCCACAGCCCTAGCCGACCTCTATACAGAGATAAGGCTGGCTGGACATAAGCCCATATGGCTGAAGCTAATAAGGCCTAAGGCCCATAACATAACCCTGTCTAACAGTTAATCTGAGTCAGTGTGTATATACAACGATGCATGGAAGCATAACTCAACAGAACATGTTGACAGCATGCTACCTGGAAACTTTGGCAAGAAATATTGTTCCATGGATCGCTGGAGATTTGCAATCCTTCAACGGATACCTGATAACCATGACCCTAATGGGAACAAAAGTTTTCAGTGCATCAATATTTCTGAACAAGGAGAAAAACAGGGATATACATTTTTTGACATTTGGCAGAGGAACTGCAAAATCTGGAGAGATGGCATGCAGAAAATAAAAACATAAACAATAAATTCAGATGCGATTGACTAGATGTTTCCAATCATCACATATGCTGCCAAAAAAATTGTATTTTGTGAGCATAGTCTACATAGACAACTGAGAGAACCAAACTTAAAGAATGGCAGACTTTGAAAGGAGGTAAACTTATATGATAAATGCTCCTGTCTGCTGAACAAAACTTGTGGGTATGAGCACCTGAGTGCTCCTAGTCTAATATTGGAAGTATTAAAATAGTTATTCAAGGCACTTAGAATCAGCACTAATGAGTCAGGGATTCGCAAAAAAATGCTACATAACATATAATCCCGATTACCAAAACACGCTGCACTGTATTGCCAGATTCTGTGTACATATATATACCAGTCTTCCACACCCAATATGATAAACTGATAAGGAATGTAGATAATTAGTCCAATACCTGATTAAAATCTGAGTAGAATGGTAACTGTTCTGGATAGCTCCGAAGAATACCCCATGATTTTTCAACAAGGCCCCACCAACTGCACAGCTACTTGGTAAATACATTGCAGAAAGTGCAACGATAATAGCAGAAAGAAGTCAACAACACATTACTGATTCTGTGCGCTCTGAAAGTCAGGTGGTTGCTTAGTTTCATATACCCATCCAGGAGCAAATATGGCAGCTGAGATATCAACTTTCTTAAGTAGATCAAGGGCAACATTTGTCTAGCAAAATGCAAAATTGTCAATAAGTCAAATATTGGAAGGTGAGAAACTGGAAGGCATAGTTTACATAAAACTATAAAAGCAAAGTAGTGATATGTACAACTGAGGGTTTCAGTGGCGGAGCGTGAACTAAAATTAAGGGGTGCAATCGTGAAGGTGCGAGCCCAAGGAGCTGATATGCGCGAGGAGACACCACTCGCCATATTTGACCACCTACAGTACCTTCTGTGGCACCGAGGAGCACAAGAGAGAGCAACCTCGGTGGCTCTAGCAAGCGTTGTAGTAGTGACGACTGCAGACGGCCTAGGTCTCATTTCATCATAAAACTATCTAGCAAAGCCTACTCAATTCAGGAATTAGCATAAAGAGATATCTTGATGAGCAAATTATGATAGTGGGACATCTCAATCTGTACCAGTGTGATGCACTATACTACTTGCATAGCTAAGATGGGAAGTCAAATCGTAAAGAATAATCGACGAAAAGACTAGCTGCAGTCCCTTCTTCCTGGGCAACTGGTACTCTGTGAGCGCTACAACTGCCCAGATTAGCAGCTGGCAAACACAGCAGTAGTTATGGAGGAAGACACGGTGTTCGAGAATCTTTTCAGAGGAGGGGGCACGAGCCCAGGCTTACAACTTTACATTTATCAACTCTATATAAATGAGTTCTCCCAACAGAAAAAAGAAATGTATATGCAATACAGTAGTAGTAATTTGATTGTTGTCTAATCAGAGCATTTACGTCTACAGTCTGATAAAGGTGATCATATAAATACTTTAGCATCCATGGTTGCATCAAGATAACACTAAGTGTGAGAAAATTGTATAGGTATAGTTTAAGAGCCGCCAGCCGCGTGTCATTTCATTAAGAAGAAAAGGTACAAAAAGGAAGAGGGGGGTTATCTCTCCCAACACACAACCCCAACCAGGAAACCGACAGTCCATTAATTATCTAGGACGAGCGACCAAGCAAAGAGCTTATGCAACGCGGAGGCCCCTGCCAAGCACCACAGGGCATCCTCATTGGCAACCGAATGTAGTACCGCTTCTATGTTAGGTCTAGCACCCTCAAACACATAAGCATTCCGGTGCTTCCATATTTCCCAAGCAACTAGGGTGATTACAGATTAAGTTTTGAGTAATAATTAGGTAAAGCTACAAGAATTTTGTTAGTATAAGAATGGACCATCTGAATTAGATAAAAGCAGAGAACACATACAGTCCACTGACCACCACCGAATGTATTTCGTCCAAAAACATCAATACCCATGTATACATCAAATTTCCTGTTTCCAGCAACTGCAGCTGAATCTTGTGGGTAATTTTCCTGCAATTGTGATGCCAATTTCAGCAGACTATCACTTAAGATTTTAAGTGGCTTCGCAGAGTTGCAGAGAAATAAAATAAGAAGAGAGGACTACCTTCCATGTATAGTTGGAAAATAACCCATCACATACATCAAAGAATGGCTTATTGTACTTGTTGAGCTTATCCTGCCAATCAAGGTCACCATTCACAGTGATTGCATCATACCTGCAAAAGCAAGTAAAAGCCAACAAGCATCATCAACCAAGCTTGATAACTACAGCCTGTCATGTTCATAGTTACAACACAGTTGGAAATAAACACCACCATATGACTAAAGATCCAAGAACTGCATCGTGCATTGTCGTGGTTAGATGCTTGACGAACTCTTTCAGGTTATCGATGAAATGAATGTCAAGCTTGACCTCAATGTTAATCTGAAAGACGATTCAGTATTAGCATTCAGCAATCAGCAGCAGGCATATATCCAGCAATCACAAGATGGCACAACAGACATTACCAGCCAACCATCAAATCCCAAGGTATGAGCCAGCTCTGTGAGCCTTTCGGCATACATCTGTGCAGAAGCCTCGGTCGCGAGCATCTCTTTGCAAACCTCCACGCCTTTATCCCACTCTGCAATGAACGTCCCTAAAACCTTGGCACACAGACAAGAGGGAGAGGAAAAAAAGCAAGCTCAGTTGAGCTGACTGAGTCAAGAGCCGAAAGCAGACGGAGTAGAAACAAGGCGAAGACCTTGACACCGTGGAGGTGAGCGGCGTTGATCCAGCAGGGAGGCGGGAGGGTGACGAGGTAATGCGAGAAGTAGACGAAGACGTCGACGAGGTGCCAGTGCCAGAGCGCGTAGGCGTCCGGGTTGGCCCCGCCCTGCGGCGCCGCGTCGTCGCGGTATCCGCCCTCCATGTCGTGGCAGACGAGGACGCGGCGGCGCTGCGGGAGCGGCGAGGCTGGCGCCGGGACGGAGGCCCTGTTGAAGGGGAGGTGGAAGTTGGCTTCGGCGGAGAGGTAGGCGCGCGAGGCGAGCGCGGCTAGGTCCGTGATCGGGTAGGACATGGGCGGCGCAGGCGAGGACGCGTCGAAGGGCGGCTCCCACGCGCGGCGGTCGTCGCCATCGGACACCTCCGGCTCCGCGGCGGAGGGGAGCATGGCACGGACACGGCGGGCGAGACGGCCGAGGTGGCGGCGCGGGGAGACGGGCATGCGCCGGCCCGGCGACCGGCGTTGACCGGCCGTGGAATTCGGGCAAACGAAAGCAGTTCCGCAGCCGGAGCTGGCAGTGGCAGCCGTGGGGCTGTGGTTGACTTCATCAATGGGTTGGGCTTTCAAATCTCTGCTTTCTTTGGGCCGGACCTAATATGGTGGGCTTTAAACTAGTTTTTTTTTCTTCTTTACGAATTTATTATGTGTCCCAGCCTTTTGACCTAATTCGTGACAAAAAGCTTTTGCTATACAAATTCTATAGAACAAACAGAAATTGGGCTTCAAAAAAAAGAGAACAAACAGAAATTGAAGGTGGCTATATAGAGTGAGCAATTTTCTTTGCGGAGTGACAACCAGCAGAAATCAGAGGAAGTGAAGAGGCAGACAAGTAGAGAGTCGTCGATGAGTTGAACATGTATATATAGCCTTAAAAAAATGTAAATATATGAAGTCTACTATACTAGAGGAGAAACTAGTGCGTTCTGTGGAGTGAAGATGGGAGGACCGATGTCCCGCACGTCTTGTTGCTTGCGGCATCAGTACCCTGCACGACACGGGCAAGTCGTGCATGATGTGTGTAAGCTACGGTAGATGTGACAGTTTTCATTTCTTTGGATCAACCCAATAAAACTCGTTCAAATACTTGAACTGGGTCAGGAATTCCAAAGCAAGAGGGGCACTAGCACTACTAAGGGTCTGTTAGCAGAGCTCTACAAGCTTCAGATCGACGAAAAACAGACTCAAATTCACTTTTTGTACCTAAACGTTTTTTTATCCATCAGCTCCACCGTGGATCTCATCCACTAAATTGGTGGAGCTCTGGGTGCTCCACAAAATCTGGAGTTAGAGAAAATTACTCACCACTGCTACTAGTTACACAAAAATAACACTTGGTTCTTTCTTTCCCGTCATCTTCCTCGTTTGCGCACACATGCTCGCCCGCCCCGACCGCCGTGCCGCCCCTCGCCGACAGCCGCACCACCCCTCGCCGGCAGCCTTGCCTGTGTTATGAACGACGTATAGGAATATGAAGTAAAGAATCAAGCCACAGAGGAGACACACGATTTAACGTGGAAAACCCCTCCAATGTGAAGGGGAAAAACCACGGGCACCAGCCAGCAACAATCTCACTATCTCAAGAGTTTTGGGTTACACGCATATGGCGGCTTACAAGAGAATCAAGTCTCCACTTTGACGCTCCGGCCCAAGCCTCCGGCGACGGGCCTCCGCTCCACTCCGTCAGAAGCCCGGCCTATATCCTGGAGTGAATTTGGAACAACTCCAACAAACTCCACCTTGAGACAAATTCATCTTATATCATAAATCAACCCTTCATCCTGAACATAACAAAGATAGAAAACCACTGGTGCCAACAATAATCTCTTGGACTATCCAATTAAACCAACTAAGCTTGAGCACAGCTCAAACTTAGCAACAGGAACAGGCTTTGTCATCATATCAGCAAGATTATCATGAGTACTAATCTTGCATACCTTCAGCTTACCTTCTTCAATCACATCACGCACAAAATAATACTTGATATCTATGTGCTTAGTTCTCTCATGGAACATCTGATCTTTAGTGAGGTAAATTGCACTTTGACGTCACGGTGCAAACTTATGCAAGATTCAACTCCACAAAGCTCAACGGTACAAACCTTTCAAACCAAATTAATTCTTTGCACGCTTCACAAATAGCCATATATTTCGCTTGAAGAGTAGACAAAGCAACAATGATCGTAAAGTAGCCCTCCAACTCACAAAGACAACCGCCAACAAGAAACACATAACTGTAAGTGATCTTCGCTTTGTCCGGATCAAGCAAAGATAATCAGAATCCACATAGCCAATAAGACCCTTATCAGTTCTTCCAAACTTTAAACAGAATCATTGTGCCTCTCCGAGGTACCGAAAATCCTTTGAATCGCCCTCCAATGTTCTTTGCCAGGATTAGACATATATCTACTAACAAGACTCATAGCATATGACAAATCGGGACGAGAGCAAACCATGGCATACATCAAAGACCCAACAAAGACTAGAATAAGGAACCCTTGACATGTATTCAATCTACGCATCATGTACTAGAACACCGAGCGGTGACAACTTAAAGTGAGGTGCAATAGGGGTACTAATGAATTTTAGCATTTTGCATGTTGAAACGTGAAGAACTTTCTTGATATAATTTTGTTGAATAAGAAATAGCAAACCAGATTTTCTGTCTCTACTAATTTCCATACCAAGAATTTTCTTAGCACTACCAAGATCTTTCATATCAAAACCACTACTCAATAGCTTCTTTAACTTAGTGATTTCAATCTTACTCTTGGCAAAGCAATCAACATATCATCAACATATAACAAACAAATATATAGGTGATCCATTAACATGCTTGATGTAAACACGACTATCATACTTAGATCTTTTAAAAGCGTGTGCTAACATAAATGAATCAAACCTCTTGTTCCATCGACGAGGGACTGTTTCAAACCATACAAGGATCTCTTCAACTTGCACACATATTTTTCCTTGCCAGGCACTATGAACCCTTCTGGTTTGTCCATGTATATGTCCTCCTCAAGCTCTCCATGTAAAAACGCAGTCTTCACATCTAACTGCTCAAGCTCAAGATCATGTAAAGCAACAATACTAAGGAAAGTACGAATTGAACTGTGTTTTACCACTGGAGAGAACACATCATTGTAGTCAACACCGGAATTTGATCAGTAGCCTTTAGCAACTAACCTTGCATTATACTTTGGAGGCTCGCTTGGAGATAAACCTCCTTTCTCTTGAAGATCCATTTGCAAATTTGATGGTCTTCTTATTCTTAGGCAAAGGTACAATCTCCCATGTAATCGTTCTTCTCAAGAGACTGCATCTCCTCATGCATATGTAAATCCAATTCTCAAGATCACCACAACGAATAGCTTCTTTATAGGTTTTTGGCTCATGAACATTCTCCACTGTTCAAAGCACAACTCAAAGCATAGTAAGACAAATTACACTCTTCAATAAGACGCTTAGGAGGTGCAATTGTCCTTTTGACTTGCGTTGAGCAATAGGTAAATCCTCCTCTAAGCGCAAAATAGGAGGAGTTTCTTTGAACATCATCATGAGCATCATCCTCAAAGAACATCATTATCATGGTCACCATGCTCATCAACAGCTCCACCGCATTTTTTGTATCATCATCAACATGCTCCACGCATGCGCATAAACCGCAACTCTTTTTCTAGAACATGATCCGAGGGCAAGCAACAAGTAAACATCATGATTCATTGAAAACAACACTCCCGCTCATAAAAGTCTTTCTGCTTCAGATTCCACAATTTATAGCCTTTGACTCCCGAACTATAACCAAGGAAAAGACACTTAATGACTCTAGGCTCTAATTTTCCATTATCAACATGAGCATAAGCAAAGTGCATCCAAAAACTTTCAAGCTGTGAATAATCAAAGAGCGCGCATTCGCACCATACCTCAATGGAAGTTCTTTTATTTAGTGGAATAGAAGGCGACTGTTTATCAAGTAATGTGAAGATTAGCAGCTTCAACCCAAAAATGCTTGCTCATCCCGGCATTAGACAAGATGCAAGCGGGCCTTGGACATGATGGTTCTGTTCATGCGTTCGCCACACTATTCATTGTGGAGTATGGGGTATGGTGTGATGCCTAACAATGCCTTTCGATCTGCAATAATCATTAAATTCACGCGAACAAAATTCTCCACCATTATCAGTACGAAGCAATTTTACCTTCCTTTCAGTTTGCCTTTCTATCATTACTTTTCAGTCCTTAAAAACAGCAAAAGTATCATCTTTCTGTTTCAGAAAATAAGGCCAAACCCTTCTAGAGTAATCATCAATAATTGTAAGCATGTAACGAGCACCACCAAGTGAGGACTTACGGAAGGGCCCCATAAATCAAAGCATGAACATAATCAAGAGTACCTTTAGTGGTGTGAATGAAGTGTTGAAATGTACCCTTTTATGCTTCCCGAAAATACAATGCTCACAAAACTTTATTTTACTCGAAGTGCGACCATCCAAAGAGGTTTCTCTTCATCAATTTCGCCATACCATGGTGACTCATATGTCCCAAAACGATATGCCAAAGGTTAGTTTTACTAGGTTCATCATTAGTAACAGAAAGCAACAAATGAATCGTAGAACCATGTAAAGTACACCCTCTAAGGACATATAACTTTGCGTAATTAAGATCACCTTTCAAGCAAACAAGAGAACCTTTTGATACCTTTCGTAACGCCATCCGAACCGGAATATTTGTAACCTTTCGCATCAAGCGTGCTCAATGAGATAAGATTTACGGACATCCCCGGTATATACCGACGTTTTTCAACAGTGCGTGTCATGCCATCATCGGTCTTGATCTCGAATCGATCCAATCCCCACAATGTCACATGGGTTATCATCTCCCATCCGCACAACATCCCCTTCTCGCACAAAGGCTTATCTGAGCTAAACCAATTTCGTTAGTGCAAAATATGAAATGAACATGCGGAATCGAGAATCCATTCATCATAACCAACAACACAACCAAAGCAAATACTACCAGACAATCTCCAGAATCATCATCAGACGCAGCAGCAGCAACAGAGACCTTACTAACCGACTTATTTTTCCTCTTCTCCTTATTCTGTACTTTTCTGCAATCCTCAACATTATGATTTGTCAGCTTGCAATAAACACAAAACTTTTTATTACCATGCGGCTTGGACTTTGAACGGCCTCTCCTTTCGTAGTTCTTTCTTCCATCATTGTCATCATTGGAGGATCATTTTTTTGTTGCCGCCTCACATGCAAAGCGTCGCCTTGGAGGACGACGCCCCGCCATTCTCGCACCATGCCTCTCATCTTCTCCCTAGATCGGAGAGCCTCATAAACTTCCTTTAGGGTTAGTTCATCACGGCTCAAAAGTATGGTGTCACGTAAAATTTGCATACTGAATTTGGCAAAGAACATAGCAGTAAAAGACCTAAGTCCTCATCATCATACTTCACCTCCATCGACACTAGGTCGGCGACGATCTTCTTGAATTCAGCGATGTGGCTCATCACTGAATCCTCCTCCTTCATCTTAAGGGTGAACAACTTCATCTTCATCTGCATCTTACTGGTTAGATCCTTGGACATACAGATCGATTCTAGTTTCAGCCATAGTTCTGCAGCAGTTTTCTCTTTCAGACACTCCTGCAAAATATCATTATGAAGATGCAACTGAATTAGGGCGAGCGCCTTCTGATCCTTGCGGATCTCTTCTGGAGTCCACTCGGTCTTCCTCTTTCCGAAACTATCCAGCGCCTCATCATAGTCATGAGTCTGCGCCAGAATCCCCCGCATCTTGACTTGCCATAGCGAGAACCGCATGTCGTAGTTCAGCAGCGGAAGATCAAACTTCATCGACGTCGTCATGAACCCTAACAGCAACCAAAGCTCCGGTACCACTTGTTATGAACGACGTATAGGAATATGAAGTAAAGAATCAAGCCACAGAGGAGACACACGATTTAACGTGGAAAACCCCTCCAATGTGAAGGGGAAAAACCACGGGCACCAGCCAACAACAATCTCACTATCTCAAGAGTTTTGGGTTACACGCCTATGGCGGCTTACAAGAGAATCAAGTCTCCACGAAACCCTAGCAAGGGTGTATATATACCGACCAGTGCATCATGGGGCTCTCGCCCCGCACCCCCGAGCATGTGGGCGAGACACGATGGGCCGACTTTCAGACTCCGCTACGCTCCGGCCCAAGCCTCCGGCGACGGCCCTCCGCTCCGCTCCGTCAGAAGCCCCGCCTATATCCTGGAGTGAATTTGGAACAACTCCAACAGCCTGCCCGCCCGCTACGCCCTCCACCCTCGGCTGCCCCCCATAGCCATGGCCGCGCATGGCTGTGGTTGCGAGCTCGGGCCCTCCATGTGAGTCGTTGGGCCGAAGAAGCTTGTGTTTTTTTTTCTTTTACATTTTTTCTATTATGGTGGATCTGACATGTGGGTCTAGTTTGACACTGAGATAGTGAGGGAGGTGGAGCTTAACCGAACACTTTGACAATCCCAGATCGGATCTAGGTGAGTCTGGGATCTGGATTCACTTTTTCCAGTGGTAGAGCTCTGCAAAACAGATCTTGATAATGCAACTCTCTTAACTATGTACATGTATTTTTCAATTACTAGTTGAGTGTCCGTGCGTGGCTACGGTCTTACATAGAATCCCATGACATACAACCGCATGGGTAACATATGTAAAATCTCATGAATCAGAAGCAATTAACATCGAAACACATAATTAACATTGAAATCAAAGAAAGTAATTACAATGTGTTTGATTTGACCTAGGCAAAGGAATGCCCAACAATAATACATTGTTTCCTTTTTTTGTATGCGAAATTAATATAGCACTAAAGAGAATCTCGTATACCCTCAAGTATGTTGCCTTCGTTAAGGGTTCTCCTTATATATGAGTAGGTTTGGTAAGATGTGCTTCCTCATTTCGTACACATCCTACCAAATTTGTTACACATATAATTAAACAATATCTAGATGAAAGAAAAATTATGTTCAAAGAAGAATACTCACGCTTTGCCATTCCAAGCTCCTTACACCTTGGGATTGGACAGTATCTGAAGCAACAAGCTCAATAGTTCAGTTCGACCTGATCTCAGTAGTCATTAGTCTTTGCTGCTGAACGTTCTGTATGGGCTGAGCGCGATTCTCACATCCGACCTGATCTCAGACCTGTCCCTGCCATACAGAGTTGAGTTTGGTTGCTATATCATATCATGGATCGACCTATACCACAACATAGGCATTATTGGCTTGAAACGAGAGGGCAATGGCGACGAGACTCACCTATATTAATGACGCCCAGCACGTTGACGGCCGGTCGAACTGCGGCTCCAGCTCCGCGGCGGACGCGAGGATGAGCTCCAGCATGAGGTACACGTGCGCGCCGTCGAACACGGGCACGGCGTACGCGGGCATCCGCGCCCTGTAGCACCGGATGGAGATGAGCGCGGAGAAGAGTGCCGCCTTGGCCGCGTAGACAGCAGGAATCCGGAAGGGACAGAGGAGCGGGATGCCTGCTGCTGCTGCTGCTGCTTCTTCTCGTCCCGGACCTCGACGGGCAGCGCGGCGCACGCGACGAAGTGCACCAGCGGGAGGGCGGGGTGGAGGGGTCCATGCCCCGCGGCGTGCCTACCAAGGTGACGCTGGAGGAAATATTTCGGTGAGCAGGTTAGGCTATCTTGGACAACAATACTTAAAATATAAGATATATTCATCTTTTGGGTAACGTTACACGCAAAATGTTCAATACTTATTTGGCATCTTCTTCAACAATAAGACCTAAAAGAGAATTCTTTCTGCAAATGGGTTTCCAGAAGAGATGATGCATATATTTGAGTTGTGCCTATCAGACAACCCAAAATAGGTCTTCCGTATAGGTACTCTATTAGAGATTGGTTTCAGGTCTCTTGCTACCTATTTTGAGTTTGAGTGCTCATATGGGTTCTTTGTTGGAGACAGTGTTAGCAGCACAAGCAACACACCTCAATGGACTCGCTGAGGAGGTCCTCGCTGTAGGCAGCCTGATTATCTCGTCGGGCAAATGCTGTGGCCTTGGGCGCCCAGGCCAGGACCGGGGCGGCCTTCGCGTTGGGGAGGGCGCTGGAGAGGAGGTCGTGGGAGTCGTCACGGGAGGAGACGCCGGGGCCAGACGTGGAGGCAGCGGCCGCAGCGGAGTCGCCAGAGGCTGCACCATCGGCGCGGGCGTCGGGATGCGCCCAAGGTCACGGCGGGGCGGCCTTCTGGGTTGGGGAGGGCGCCAGAGAGTAGGTTGGGGGAGGCGTCGCGGGAAGAGACTCCGGGGCGGTACCAGGAGTCGCCGGAGGCTGCGCCTTGGGCGCGGGCATCAGGGATGCGCCCAAGGTCGCAGCGTCGGAGGTCGGCGTCCGTAGAAGCGGCGCTTCGCGACGACGGTAGAGGTCTCCTTGGTGTACAACGATGGATCGCGATGGTAGGGATCATGTCGTGCGCAGGCGTCGGTTCCGCCGTTGCCTAGGCAGCTCGCGATAGAAGGGGAGGATCGTGGAGGCGTCGTGCGGCGCGGGCTTTCTCCGGACCGGAGGCAGCGCGAAAGCGGTCGAGCACTCTGATTTTTTTTCCCGAGGCGACGCGATTAAGACAAGGCAGTCCGATTACTTAGGGCCTCTTTAGCACGGCTTATGCCGGCTTCGGCTTCATCTATTTTGCGTAAATCGAGGCACTATAGCGTGAAGCTGTTTTGTAAGCCGGGGTTAAAATGAACTAGAAGCCGAAAAAAGCCAGTTTTTCTGGCTTCACCGGCTTTGGCTTCACCGGTGAAGCCGTTTTGGATGAGCCGTGCCAAAGGGACTTTACGGTGATGATAACATCCCAGTCTTTTTAGCTGTAGATAGAGATAGTGGACATCATTTTTTTTCACTTGCATGCTGTGGTATTTTCACATCACTCATGCAAGTGAATGTTGCTATGACAACTGTTGCAAGTTGCCATGTCGTCTTTTCTCCGATCTGGAATTGATTTAAATTTTTCTTACACATGTGTTTTTACAAGCTATTACACGGAGGCCTGCCGTCGGTGGTAGATACCTCTCACATGATCTGCATGACTGCATGTGTTGTTCTTATCCTGTTGGACTAAAGATTCCATGTTAGGTTTGGTTTTGATCGGAAGAAAAGATCTGGTCTTCAATTTTCTTGTAAAAGATGAAAACTTCGAATCATATCATCTTAGAGATGGACAAAACGATGATGGGAGATACTTGGAAGCGTACTAGCTATACGTAATCGCTTGTGTAGTTGTGTCCCGAGTTAAAAAAAAAAACGGTTGTGTTCGGTGCAATAATGTACGGTTGGCTGGTATGATGACTTCGCACTGTCCCTTTTTAGTACCGGTATGGCACAGTCTGTATCCATATATCTTATCTTATCTTATCTTATCTTATCATATACTACTCTTTCTTCTAAAACAAAACTCCACTCGTTATTTATCTCAACATACAAGCTATAAATTAGGCAATGAACTATCACATACAATTAAAATACACTAAGCAAAAACCCACTAGATATTTTATCTCAACATACAAGCTGTCCAACTAGGCAATACACTATCACATACAATTAAAATCCACTAGCACATAGAACTGTAATGTCCAAGTCAGCAATACACATAAGCATTTTGTTGTCCACGTCATTATATCACACAATCCACTAATCTGCAATTTCCACAGCAATGCGTGGGATATGCTTCTTGTTCTTATAAAGCTAAACTCTACTAGATGTTTTATCTCTTTATGCAAGGTGTCTATATCATTTCCCACTAAGTGCTCCACTAACTTGCAATCCATTCAATCAAGCTATTCATGCCATCATGTATTAGTTACAAAAAAAATATCCATGGCATCTCTATTATGTGTAATATTTTAATCTTTAATCGATTAACATACAAATCATCTACATACGTTATTTGTTTCATCACATATTCTTCTATAATATGATCAAATATTCTATTAGTATTTTTCTATTAGCTTACTGGTTTTTTATCTGATACAATAAAATAACATGCAAGTCAAATTCATATAGTACACGATATTTAGAATACCATATAGTAATGCTATTATAACAGATTTATTTTTAATAAAATATCGCGGCAACGCGCGAGGTATGCTTCTAGTTAACCTTAAGCATGTGTACATACTCTCGGTTCTTAGAAAAAAATATTCTACTTTTCTTCAATCAATAACCAAATTTTCATACAAAGCACATCAATACTTCTGGTACAAAATAAATGTCATTAGATACTCCCCCAGTCCTGAAATACAAGATGTCCAAACAACCTTTTAGGACCAAATAAAGAGCTTGACAAAAGACAAGCTCCTCACTAATTAGTTACTTCAGTTGTTATCTGCTTAATTTTCTAATAAGTCATAGTTTAAAAGGCATGCATGCCATTGATTTCGTATACCAATTACATGAGTCATTTCAAGCAAGATAGTGTTTAAAAGACATCCATGAACGGGATTTAAAAAGCAAGCACTACAAATGAGTGAGGTTGAGCAATACATAAGACCTTATAATTTAGAATAAATTTTGAACATTTGATACCTTATATTTCAGGTAGAGAAAGTATGTGCCATAAAATATATTCTGTAATCTATATTTAGGGTGATAAATATTGATACTCTTTTTTTATAAACTCAGTCTAACCTAGAATGATTTGACTTAGGGAAACTAGAATATTTCACTTAGGATAAACTAGGATGACTTTCTTTTAGTTTAGGATGTAAGCAGTATATGTGAATTTTGGTAACTTTCTCTCTCTAAATTTTGGAGCTAAACTGCATTGTTTTCTTACATTTTT